AATAAATAAATAAATAAATAAATTTGGCATTTGGAGTTTCCAATAACAGAAATAAAATAAAGACAATCGAGGGTTAGAGGAAGCAAGTTACAAATTACAGGCTTAATTGATAGCTTTGCCCAAGGGAATTAAATATTTCCATAGACAGATAAACACTTCCAATCACATGAAAGCCCTGGTTTGGAGAGAAATTACACAGAGGCAATACTTCCCACAGCTGTGGGAAAACAGGGTGCTGGAAAGGAGCTACCCAGCTCAGTAGGTAACTAGAAACACCTTTTCAGTTCTCTACAAATGGAGATGCCCCACTGTTTGAAAGGAGGCTGGTCTCCCTTCAAAGATCAGTGACACTCATGGTTCTCTAAGAAGACCCACTCTCTCCCATGCCATGTAACTCCTTTCTCGGTATCAAGGCTTTGCTCTTTAACTTAATTAAGTGATTCAGGAACTTGTATAGTAGAAATGGCCTAAAGACAAAGGAGCTATTGCTGTCAGTGCCAGCCTTGGGGATTGCCCCCACACAAGTTACAATAACAACATAGAGCAGTGGGAGGGTTCACCTCATCCACACTGTGATATAGATAGCTTATATATCTTAGATATAGCTTACTTCATCACCTAAAATCTGAAGAAAGTGAATATCTAAGATGCTTATAAACTATAGTAGCTAAAGCAATTCTGACAGATGATTCTTGTCAAGAGTATAAATGTTCTCTGATGTTTATAGACACCTCTTCAGAGTGGATAAAGACTCAGCCTACTCAGACTGAAAAAACTCAGTAGTTACTCTCTGAATTCTTTACAATTTTGGGTCTCTACAACCTCATGAGTCCCTTAATGACAAGGGCACTTGCACATCTAGCTAAAAGACATAAAAGTTTTCTTCAAGGATATGATAGTTTCAAACTAATTCTCTATGACACAGAGCATCCAGCCAACTTCTATTACAGGTAGTCCAAACCCTCCTTTCTAGTCAAGAGCTTAAGAGAGAGTTATGGTTGCTCTTAGGTAGGAACTATGTCTCTCATCAGCATTGAAGAAATTATAGAAGCCTGATTTTCATCTTTCAAAAAGATTCCTGGGATCACAGCTCTTGGGAGTGGAGTTGGGCCAGGAGAACAGGCTATGGAGAGGCTTCAAGATTAATGTGTCAAAGAAGCCAGTTGGCAGTAGAAGCTTGGGAATCTCTCTCAAACTGACAAGTGGAACAAACATGAATGTGTTTTTATAAAAAAAAATCCCTTTGAATTATGAGTGTAGAAAAAACTGGATGCTATTATATAACACATAAAGGGTTAGGGTGCTGTGGCTTCTCAGGTCTTGGTCCTGTTCCAGGTCTCTTGCCCACTTCCGTTCTCAGGAGTGTGTTTCCTTAATGAACTGCCTCTTTTTCTATCACTATCTGTGTGATCCCTAGTCCAACTCTTCATTTTATGACATAAAAGCTTGGAAATCTCAGCAGGTGCCTGGAGACTGAGATATGTACCTCTAATAGCGTAGTGTCAAGCATACTTATATTTGGAGAACGGTGAGACAGCCACTTTTGTTGAAGCAGGGTGGAACAGAAAAGAGCATGCAAAAAAGATCACAGATAACCCATTTCCCCCATAGATGCATGAGAGTTCAGTGAAAGATTCTCGAAAACAAGTTTGGAAAATACATAGTTAGGAGATACTTGAGCCTCCAGTCTTCTATGTGGACAAGCTGATATGGGCAGTACTATTCTTTGTAAAGTTGCTATGACAATTGTCTGTCTCCATATTCCAAAATAGAAGAGCTTCTGATTGGAAGTAAGGTTCCAAGCCTTCTTTGTCACCCATTCTATGATCAGACTTTGGGCAAGAGCGTTTCAAGAGAGTTGGAAGGAGTGAGTGTGTGGAAGAATGATTCATTACAGCTTATAAGTCATGAGGGAAGACTGCTTGCACATCATACAAGGACATCTGTGCAAAAAAAGACATTAAGAGTGAATTAGGAGTAAATGTGTATTTTAATATAGCACAGGCCCAAGCACACCTGGACACTGGGCTCCAGGCTTCTAGAGAGCAGGGGCCATGGTCTTTTGTCGCAAACAAGTTGTACAACTTCTTAAAGGCAGAAACAGGGAGAGCCTTTTCAGCCATTTAGAGCTACATGTTCTGTTTGAAAGAAGGCAGAGATGGGATACAGAGGCTGGTGGACAAGAGATTTGAAGCATTCAAATTAAATTTGATGACTTTGCTCACCAGAGCTCACTTCCTCAAAAAAGCAAAGCTGAGCTCTGTCGCCACCTTCAGTCCAAATGGTACATTGCAAGATCCCTCTCAGAAATAAGCTTCCGAAGTCCCATCACTTGGAGTCTGTCCCTTGTTAGGTACAGATAAGAGTGGAATTTCTCAGGAAGTAGATTCTTTGTTCAGCTAGAATAATGGAAACTAGTTATGTAAGTGTGAAATCCAACCTAAAATGTGGTCAAATAATCTAAATGCCAATGCATTAACTTTTTTATTTTTTCTGACAGATACGAGGAAAAAATGATGTCTCCTTTTCATATTTTTCCTTCTCTAGACATGAATTACATTATTTGAACTAACAAGTGTCATGTATCTGGTGTGTGTGTATGTGTGTGTGTGTATGATGCTTTGGGCAGTTGTTCATTGGGTCTATGGTGATGTTCAAGCTGGTATCTTGAAAATATAGTCCAAAGAGGAATGCTAGTCAGTGTAAAATTTTTAATCTTGGTTTGGCTGATTTAGGATATGCTGATCTTAGGAGGCTTTGAACATACCACCCTCTTGGGGAAAGTTATTATAGATCCTCTCAAAACAAAGCCCAGTAAATGAACTGCTGCACACATTAAATCTTATGGCACAGCATGCATAACAGGTACACGCACACTCACACATACACACACATTGCACACCATATACACATAGCCACATGCATTTCTTTGCTCACTCACTAAGTTCCTGAGTGCCACCTAAGAGGTCTTCATACTGTGAACCACTTACTTAGAATAGTGGATAAGATCTAAAGTGTGCCTCTCCCACACATTTACGTAATTATACCATCTGTGGCCTAGTTGGGAAGATGGCGTGGTCTTCTAGGGAGGAGAAGGAGTTTAAGTCCGAGTCTTGTGATGTGCCAGAGAAGCATTCCTGGAGTCCTGAACTGTCATAAGTACCTTCTTTTATTTTTGAGTTTCAGATCCCAAGCGCCATAACAGCCTGCCGTTAATTCTACCAGAGCTCTGTAGAATATGAGTTTTCTTGATTTTTCTAATTTATTTACTTACTTGTTTTGGTGTGTTGTGGTGGTGGTAGAGGATGTGCCATGGCCCAAATGGTCAGAAGTTGGTTCTCTCTTCCACCACATGGGTTTCAGAAATTGAAAGTCCGATCATCGGACTTCTTAGCAAATGAATGTCTTTTTCATTTAAGCCATCTAACCAGCCCAGGAATGTGTATTCCTAGTTTAATACATGCCAGGGAAGTGATCTGCCACTAAGCTAAGCCTTCAGCCCGAGTTCTGCTCGGTTTGAAAGCAGGTGATCCGCTGTATAATGCCAGTTCTCCTTCCATTACACTGTGTATCCTCAGAGGGCACGGTCTTTACAGCCTCCCTCCAGCACTAACGGAGATGTAGCTAATACCAGATACTGAAAAAATATTTTGTCTGCAGCAATCATGATTATGCTGGTGCTAGGAGGCCTGATGTGCCTGGGTGGCCCACGGGAAGAGATCTCAATAGGAGGCAACAGAAATGAGTGATCATTGTTAAAAAAAATGAACAGAGCCTATTCTGGGTCTTGAGTTCCTATTGCACCGCTAACGTTCGACATAGAGAATAGTCATAGTCTAAGAAAATGAAACTTAGATTAAGTAACCAGAAACTGCCAACTAATTAGAGACTGTCTCTAATTAGAGACGCAAATAATTAGAAAATACTGACTAACATTTAGGTTGGGACTTTCCACTTTAAGCAATCAAATTTTTCTTCCCCTTGTTTCCTGAATGCATTCTAACCACCCTCATTCCTATTCTCCCATCAGCCCCCACTGGGAAAGCCCTGAACAACTTATAGTTTGGCGCTGCCTGAGTCACCAATCACTCAACTAAACTCTACCAAGGCCTAAACTTATGCACCTAAGTTTATATGAGGAGATGAAACAGGGTCAGGCTACCCATGGAACCAGATCACAGAAGTTGACCTCTTAAGGTACCCAGCTGTGGGCGAGGATGCTGGGCTGAAACGTAGGCTCTGTAGCACCTAGGCTGGTCCAGCAATGATCACAGGCTCCTGCTTGCAATACTCAAATGACTCCTCTGGGCCTCCTACTTACAGCCTAAATTCCTTTGCAAGTCATTCACAATTGGACTCCACCTATTTTCCTGTTTTAATTTTCAGCAACTCCTTAACCACAAACCTTGGGTTCCTGCCACACGAATGACACACCATAGCCCACACATGCCCGGAGCTCTCCATGCCTCCCTCATACCTTTCTGAATTGTTGATTCTACCTAGAATGCTTGACTCATGTTCTCTGCCAGGAAAACTCCTTTTCCTTTGAGTCCAGGGTTCGTTGTCCCTTGTGAAGCCCTGCTTAGCCTCCCTGGGCTGCTCTCCTCATTGACTTACCTTGCACTGTAGCTCTGCTTATGTCATAGTCTTAGTGTCTAGCCAGAGCTTCATGGTCATCTTCTTAGGAAAGGTCTTTTGTGCTTCATCACTGATCTAGACACTAGTGACACAAAAAAGTGCCAGCAGCTCACCCCTCACTAAATCAGGACAGTACAGGCTCCCTGCTTTAGGAGGAGCAGGGACACAAATTTCCTATGAGTTGAAAAATTACTGGTGCTCTCAGGCAAGGGGTGCAAGTACAAACTTTCAGAAGAGTCGAGGAGAATCTGTGAATGTCTTTCCAAGAAATCTCTAGGGTACCTATCAGTATTGAATTGTATGTGAAGCATCGGTTTTATTATGACAGCTTCAATGAATGATGATCTCAAACTCAGTGGCTTAAAACAATGGAAATGTAGTATTTTACAATTCTCTAGTCCAGAAAAAAAAAATCCAGAATCAGTGTCAGGAAAGCTCTCACCATTTTTAGTTTCTAGAGACCACGGTTACCTATCAGCTTAGAGTACCTATCCGCATCCTTGCATTTAGTAGCAAAGTTTGCCCCAGTATCCCTCTGACTCCTTCTTTCTTCTCATGAGGCCTCGTATAATTTCAATGGGTGCAAATGGATCACGGAGGAGAAGTCCTTTTGCCATTTAATGTAACACAGTCACAGATTCTGGGGATTAAGACCTAAACATCTTTGGTGGATCCTTTTTCTGCTTTCCAGAGACATAGTGCAAGAAGGGTTCAGTCTGGGGACACTAGGCTGGACCTGAGCCTCGTGCCTCTTTACCGACTCTGCTCAAAGTAGAATTCAGTACGGGTAGAGGGTTCACTCTCTTTGGTGAGCTGCACTGGCTGCTGGGGCTCAGCTGGGCCACAGAGAAACCATCCAGGGCAGGCAGCAGCCTCGAGCCTGAAGGCAGAGCCCAAGCTTCTCTGGAAAAAGGTGAAACGGGTGGTTTGTTCTCCTCCCCTGTATAGGTCCTCGATGTTCACATCCTGCGGGGAAAGGGAGACAGCTCTGAGATGAGATATGAACGTTCTGATTGGGATGTCAGCCCTTGGTGCCTCAGGGGCTTGGCCAAAGAAGGACTCAATAGGGAAGAGTTTTTCCACAGGGATGTTCTTTCTGTAGATCCCCAAAGGCAAGAGTCCCTCAGCTGGAGGCAGAGAGAGATAGATGTGGGACAAGAGAGGTGACATGTGGGTACAAAGATGTCATTATGTTCCAGTGGCAGGACTGACTCTGTAGTGTCCCCCAGAACGAGGAGGGGTGTCTCACCTCCAGCTGCAGGAAAGGCTCCTCTCTTGTCTTCACACATGCCAGGCAGCAACTTCCTCCCTGGATCCCCAGGAAGATGGGGACCTTGGAGCGGTCCAGGCCTCGGTTAGGAAGGATACAGACCTTCTCTGGGAGGTAAGACAGAATGCAATTCAGGCAGTGAGGGGACCGCAGATGGGAGGCTTTTAGCAAGGTAAGGTTCAGCTAGAAGCTGCTGGGTCTGGCCCCATCTGGCCTGTTTCTGTATGGAAACTGCAGGGTAAGTGGAATTCACTTGGATAGGCAGAAACCGCCCCTACTTCTTCTTATTAGTGGGACAATATTCTCATGTCTCTAAAGACATAACGGGAGGAAAGATCAAGGGCCTGTGGCAGATGGACACTGTGCAACTCCTGGAAGAGAGGCCTCCGGAAGCTCACCTGGACTACAGTTGTCTGAATCAGGGTCTCCCACCAGGAGCTGGCCATTCCGTGTGTACAAAGCCTTTTGATTTGCATCTTTGATTCTGAAATAGGAAGGCAAGGTTAATGGCCCACTGCCCTGAGGGATCATTGTCCCCGTCAGTCCGCATACCACCTCACTAGACCACCACACAGAGCCTTTGGTGAATTCTGTTTCCAGAAGGGAGAAGGACACTGCTCCAATAAGGGTAGAAACAGTTTCATCCCAAAGCAAGAGCAAGCTTCCAAGGCTCAGGATTGTCAGAGGTGCCAGAAGTGATATGTGGTGCCTTCTCATGAGGGAACTGAGGGTGTTTTCATGGTTGTCTAAGGAGTTGCTTTGAGGCTCAGGTATCCTGGAGATACAATGAGCACTATCCACAATGTTTCTAGGCTTGATTTAACTTTTTAAATAAATAGTAACACTAATTAACGAAGGCACTGAGGATATAATAGCTGTGATTTGCTTTGTAAAATTAAAAAAAAACTTTTTGTAGAAGAAAATTCACAAATCAAAAATTGGAGAATAAAAAAGTCTATGTTCCAAGACTCTGGGCCCACTCTGGCCATGGTGAGGTACACTCTGGGTGGAACACATATAGGAAGCCAACCCAGAACTAGATCAGGGCCTGTTTAGTCACTGGTTATGCCAATGGATCTAATGACCTGCCTGGGAGCATAAGTATGCACCAGGGTAGCTGGAGAGAAACTGTAATGCACATGAAACATTAAAATCATGCCTGGTATTAGCTTTGTTGCCCAGCTGGTTTCAGAGTTGCCCATCAGTTGCTCTCAGAGCCCTGGAAGCTCACAATGCATTTGAGAGCAGTACCTCTGGATAAAGGCCACCACCTCCAGGAGCCTTTTCTGTCTCTGCAACACCTAGCAATAGCTGTTCAAAAACAGCTTGTGTATAGTTTTTAAAGCAGGCTCACTTGTACATTAAGAACAAAGGTCTGCAAGGATCTTGCCACCTGGCATTCTTCTCAGACTTTAGGAGCTGGGACTTAACAGTTCACCCACTGGAAGCATTTAGACACTACTCAGTTATTGTCAAAGATGCAGGTGTGGTGGTATATACTTTAATCTCAGTGTATCTCTGTGAGTTTGTGGTCCCTCAAATGGACATACTGAGTTCCAGGGTAGTCAGGGCTATATAGTGAGCCTTTTTTTTTTTTTTTGATCCAGTCAAGATCACCATGAAGGTGCTGTCGGGACTCAAGATTGCTTGAGCTTTCTAAGAACTAGCTGTATCAATTCAGAGGACAAGGAGTCTGATCTCACTCTCTGCTTTTGGGTAGTTGCATGGCATGAGGAAAATCATAACCTCTTGGAGCTTCAATGTCCAGGTCTGTAAGATGGATGAAACAATACCATTCTTACAATTGCTTCAGTCTGCCACCAGGAAAGAGGGCTGTTGTGATCGACAAAGATGAAGATCAATTATTCAATGCTTGAGATTTCTGTGACTCTTAGAGGGAGCTTTGTTCCTTTGAATCAGCCTTTTCCCTTCTCATGTGATCTTCAGGCCCCTTGACCGAGAGATCACCAAGATTACTTACATGTAGTATCTTGCCATGGGAAGAGAGCACATTCCTGCAGTTGGGAGTGTCTGGTCTTCACTGAGGCAAAGAAGAAAAGGGCTTTCATAAAAACAGAGTGTATTTGGGGCAGACATTACCCAGTCACAAGCTGTTCTCTACCCGTAGGTGTTACAGAATCCACAAAAATTTCCCCAGCCCTCCCATCTGCAGGCAGCCCACCTTTTCCTTATTCCTGGCCTTTAGATAGGGTTTTGCCTTGTGTGCTGAAGCTGGTTCCTAGACTCTAAAAAACAGATTCACCTAAATAGTCTACCAGTTCACTTCCCAGGCTTGGAGGTGGGTGCCCTGGGATAACCTCAGGACAGATCCACTCCCATTTTCCAACCTGGCCTGCAAGAAGGTCACTGTGGTCTGCCGTCCTTACCTAGCAGGGAGCAAGATACTTAGCACTCGGTACATAGGGAAGAACACATTAGCTAGGGAGAACAGTCAGAGTTTGAAGCTTAGGAAGCATCACTCCTGGGAACTAGAATTACTGAGACTTGTGACGAGTCTGTCCAAACACCCCCATCCCTCTTTTTATAAGGTGAAAATCAGAACAGGATTGAGATACAGAAACTCGAGCTTTAGAAAATGAACACTCTGAAGTGAAGAGACTGACCTAGATAACCCCAAGCCACAAAGCTTCCCTCCTAGGACTGTGTTCCTTCCTGGAGGGCTGTCATATCCCAGAGCTCCTCCCTGAAATGATCACCCAGAACGTCTAATCCAGAACAGCACATGAGAAACTCAGAACAGACAAAAGCAGGAGAACAGCTTGTAAAAGTAAATGCTGGGGTGATCAGGCTGAGGCTTCCAGAGTAGATCTGATTCTTGCCAAGTAAGAAGGGGGTGGGTGAGAAATGATTGTGTAAGAAAGCAGAAAATGAGATAGAAGAGAAGACTGTAGGGGAAAGAAATAGGACTGAGAGACGGCTGAAGTGAGAATCAGAGGAAGATGAGGTTAACACTGATGGCTGCAATTCAGACCACCCCAGTGTCACTGCTATCCATGGACTGGTGTTATAAGACATGGGGATGTATACCAAGTGGCTTTCATTACTGGCTAGATGATTCTGTAGCCTTGAAAAGCTGTTGGGCAAAAGACTTGAGAGTGAAGAATAGCAGGGCACAGATGGGTGTGAGGTTCTGCACGAATGCCAGGGCATTCAGACAGCAGCATCTTGGCTACTCCATGCTTGCATGTGTTGTTGCCTCCATTCCAGGGAGAGGTAATTGCCAAGATGCTTAGTTATTAAGTAGTTCAATTAGTTATTTTTCATAATGTTTAAAAAGTTGGAAATTCTCTCAGTGTCCAATAGTAGACAATTGGCTGAAGAGGAATGATAAATCCAGGAAATAAGTATATGCTCCTTAAAGATGACATTTGTAGCACAAACATTTCAAATACTTGAAGTGAAAACTGCAGGCTATAAATAATGTGCACATTATAATCTCAATTAACTTCATAGCTGTACAGACACACTCACACACATGGGGACAAGGACTGCTGGTGCTTGTTACAACACTCATTTGTGGCAGACAGGATCGTCAATGGTTGTTGATAGTTCTTAACATTTTCCTAAAGTAAATTTATTTTGTAATGTAAGTGTTATTCTTTAAAAATATGAAGCATTTGGTTAAAGTCATAGGCTGTAAATCATGCCTCCACTTCTGAATCAGTTGGTAAGTGCTTTCTCCCCTATTCTTACTCAACACTGCTAGAATTGATGCAAGGAACGAGCCAGGCCTGGGAACTGATATGTCAGGTCAGTTGTCCTTAATCTCTGGGTTTTGTATGTGTGCATGTGTGTATGTGTTTATGTATGTGAGTACAAGCATGCACATGCCATGGTGTACATGTGAAGGTCATGGAACAACTTCAGGTATTGGTCCCTGCCTTATTTACTGTGTGCATGCCAGGCTGGCCAGCCCATAGCTGCTAGAGATTCTCTTGATTCACCTTCCATTTCAGTTTATGCCTACTGTGACTATAGATGTGCTCTACTATATGGGTACTGTGTGGATTCTGGGAGTTCAAACTCAGATTCTCATGCTTTCATGGCATTTATCCGTTTATCCCTTTCCCCAGTCCTTACTCACTAACACATATTTCTTGAACCTGTATCCTCATTAAAATAGCGAGTGTTGTTCTCTAGGTCTGGGATGAAGCCTGAGACTGCGTTTCAAACATACAACCAGGTCTTAATAATGCTGCTGGTCCCCAGATCATACTTGGAGTATAAAAGAATAGTGAATTCCTCTATCCCAGGTAGATTAATAACAGCACAGCCTCAAGCCAAGCCTTTTTGATGATTTCCCCTCTGAGTCAAATCCCTGAGGCTCTTTTGGTTGTGGCAGAGGAAGTATGAGCAGCCAGGAAGCTGGACTGGGGTCCGAGAGGGGCCAGGGAAGTAGATAGATGTGTAAAGCTGCATATCCAGGCTGATGACTTCAACTCTGGTCAATGTCAGCTCAAACAGGCAACAGCAATTCAGTGTTGGTTTAGTCAAGTTGGATCCTCTGGGGTTCTAAAACTCTCTCATGTTGGCACAGCCCAAACTTCCAGTTTCCTACAGACTCCCATAGAGGGTCTCTGGGTAGATTCTAGCTAGGTTGTGAGAGAAGACAAAGAAGCTCTAGAGCTTGTGTTAGTTTGTGGTCATGCAGAAAGCTTGGGGTCCTGATGCTCTTTTTAGTAGTCTGTACACTTGATTCTAGAAGTTTCCCCTTCCTTGTTGACTCCCAAAATAAGCATTTGCTCAGATTGGACCTGTCTCACTTTTCTTTCTGTAATTTATCCCTGGCCATGGACGCTGGCTGACTCAGACTTCTTTAACTCTCCTGTCCTGGATCAAGTGTCACGAATGGATGATGCTGTGATTCTTCAACAGTCTCCTTATTCTCTTGCCTGCTAGCCCCAAGAACATCAACTTTCACAGGGCCAAAACCAGTCCTTACTTGCTAATGCATATTTCTTGCATTAAATGTTAAGACATTTAAAAACGATTCTCACTGGCTTCTTGGAATCTTTGACACTAGTTGATTGTTTTCACATTTCCCTTCTGTATGTCCAAGGCACATTGTAAAGTTCTTTTTCTTATGGTCATCCATAAGGCTGAGAGTCACAAGAGAACATCCTAAGCACTTTCATTTTTATATGCTATGAAATATCTTCTACAGCTGTGATGAGCAATTTGGCCTAATGCCTCCCAGCTGCAGGCTGAACTTCAGCAGTCAGTAGCACATTGTCATCTTTGGGTGTCACGTCCTCACACACATCAAGTGTGTGTAAGGGTGAGTTATGTATCTGTTCCTCCCCAGTCCACTTCTCTTTCTCAAGTCTACTCCTCTCCCTTTCATAATATTTCCCTTACCAGTACTGAAACTATACCTCTCTTCTTTTCAGAGGTAATTCCTTTAAAGTACAACCTTGTATTTGTTTTTACTTACCCTTGTGAACACGATAGCCCTCCTGGTCGCTGAACCTCCAATAAAATCTAACCTATGTAAAGCGCATGGAATTCAATTTTTAAGATCATCTTTGACCACATTCCTGCCCCGTTCTAAAATCCACAGTGGCCACCTATTTTGACACCATCTGGCCCCAGTTTGCTTGTGCAATAGCATCTCATTTTTCTCTCAAGAACTCCTAATCTTCTCCAAGGGCACACCCAGCATTGCTTTTGGTATTTCTGCTCAAAATCCACCCCTCTTCATCACCAACCATTCATGTCACTCCTATTAAGATTACTGGACATGGCTTCACTATACTCAGGCTCAGTATCTTGTTCGTTCAATTACATAAAGTTGATAATGGAAGCTTAAAAACACAGGGTCAAGTCCTCTCATGGCCATTCTAGGGCTCATGCATTAGGTTATGTGGTTGCCAAGGTTCTTTCTAGGTCAAACTATGTATGATTCCACAACTCAAAATTTGATTCTCCCCTTTATCATCATAACAAAAATCTTCCCTTCACTTTTGTAACACTACTCTGAGCTTCTGTTAAATTTTGCTATATTATTTATTAATGTGTGCTAAGACAAATTGTTTGCCTTGTAAAAGTGATGAGATCCTTAAATCTTGAAGCATGAGTATATAGCTCATATGAACTTCTATCCAACTACACAATTGATAGACATAGCACCTTAACACAGAATATCACATAATATCAAATATGATTTCTTTGAGATGACTTTCAAAACTCTGTGGTTCCAGATATGTAATAACCTTGCTTTGACCTAATCTATAGTTCTCACTAAATTCTACCAAGTGTTCCTAGACTTATAGAACATCACAGACATTCTCTAAAAGACATTTCTTGTTCCCCAGAACCTGAGCATTTTGGAGACATTGACAGAAAAGTGGTGACTCTGTGTGTGTGTGTGTGTGCATGCACATGTGTGTGTGTAAGAGACATACAGAGAGACCGACTGTAACCACTGACCTGTAGATCCTGGTGCCTGGATTCTGATGCCTGAAGTCTCCAACTGTTTTCTTCAAGGCATCAGCACTGTGTTTATAATGTCTGGTCAGGGTGGGTCAAGCCTACAGCAATCTGTAATTGGCTCTAGATCAGGGAAGAAGAGCCCAGAGATTTCATAATATCTTCAACACAGTCCAAATAATAAGGAGGTGGGGAGATTAATGAGTATTTGCAGGAAGGGGAGAGAGTCACCCATAAAGCCTTGACAGGCCAGACACTGACCTGCTGTCTCTGTAGCTACTGTCATTGACTGTGTTATTAGTGGTTTTGCAGCTAGATAAACAATGCTGGGGTCAAACGTCTTTGATGCTCCATGAGGTTCTGTCTGAGACATGGGGAGGTTGGAAGGACCAAGAATAGAAAGATTACTGCTGATAGAAGCCAGATGCGTCTAGAGAACTACAATGAAGCAGGGGCTGACTTCATGATTGTGGCTGTTTGGGGAGATCAGAAGGAACTCTTTGCTTTTCAGATTTAATTAGTTGATACAAACTCACTGAGACAGAGTATCTAAGGAAGCTGTAGAACGTGTCAACCTTAGATGTG